AACTCAGTTTAAGATCTCTAACAAGGTAAGTATTGACATATATTAGGACGGTTTTATTTTCCAATCTTTCTTAGGAGATGTCAAGCCCTTTTTGTCCTTGTGAAGAAAGATACTAAATTTGTATGGGATGAAAGTTTCCAGAATGCCTTTGAAATATCAAAACAAATACCTTTCTAACCCTCCAGTTTCTATGCCACAAGCCGTTCAGGAATAACTGTTTGGTTCCTCCTACACTACAAGCCTTTAAGATGAGTCCTTAGGTGCCCTTGTTAGCTCAAAGTCAGCGATGAAGGGAATAGAGAATGCTTCTTTTATTTACCTTAGCCGAAGACTTCTCCTACAAAATTTGATACCTCAATTAAGAAGCATTGCCGGCCTTTGTTTTTTGCGGCCCAAAAGCTAAGGAATACATGTTTTGCGCACTCGACTCGAGTTTGATTTCTAGAGTAATCCTTTGAGTATCTTATGACCCGACCTATATTATCAGGACACTTTGATCACTGGTCTACTGATGACTACTCTAATTTGAGATTACTTTCATTTCCCTCCGTGCTGTAAAGGACAGGTCCATTGTCAATTTCCTGGTGCACCGCGACCGAGCGCTGCCGGATGGATTCTTCCTTTAAACGATAATTTACCCGATGAACAAGCATGAGTTTGAGGAAATATGTAAGAAGCTGTCTGGGAGGTATATTTATAATCGGTGGCGACATCCTTCCACCGGGATCAGCCCAATAATCTATAATCCTGGAAAGGTTGAGTCGGCTTAAATTATTATAACACGCAGAGAAGAGGGATGAATCAAATTTTCCCTACCACTTATCGGGAGCCTTGCATGGAATAACGAGGCCAAAATATCAGCTCTTCATAATTGGGTTTTAAACTTACAATTTTGATGGAGATTAAAGCGATTAGATCTTTGGGACTCTCAATTGGTGATTACCAAAATTGCTGGAACTTATATGATCTTGAATCCAAATTTTTTAAAATACGACCAGTATAACCCTTCACTGCTTGAACAAATTCTTATCGTGACTCTATATAGGGTTTCTCCATGGAAGCAATTCTACGGCTAATGGCCTTTAGCAAAGATTGCAAAGGAATTCGCATGCCCCAGAGGAAGAATTATATCCCTATAAAGGGATTCAGGGTTACAAAGCCCTCTCTTCCTATAGATTTGGAAATATATCAGATAAGAAACCTCTCCAATCCTTTATGCTCCTTCGACGATTGAAGAAGAGGCGATTAGAGATGACCTTTAATCGATTACCTTCAAAGAGGGATAACTTCCCCTAGGATAAATGCTCTCTCCATACCATAATTATAGAAATGTGCCCTATCTTATGCACAACTAGTCAACAATTCACTGTACATCGAAATTCATTCGAGTCAGATGTGGCTTACATTGTTTGGACAAACACGGCGAAAAGCTTTGAAAGATCGTTAATCGAGGTTCATTCAGGAACTGCGGTGCACAATCAATCGGGCCCCACAAAAATGAAATTAAAAAATTAAAGACTTGGGACTACTGGCTAACAATAGATTGAGCGATTGAACAGTGAAATAATGCAAAAGCACTGTCATCATGCAAAGGATCCATCGTGTGGTTAAGACATCAGCCCTATTTGTTACCCCCTCTCTCTACCGATGCTTCGTAGCCCCCTTTAAAGTTGGGGCGCGGAATGGACTTATCGTTTGGCGCCAATTGAGAGCGCGGCGCCCTTCTTCGAGAGGTCATCATTTCATAGTAGCTGCGACCAAATTACTACTTTCAAAGGTGGGTGGAAAGCAACTCTCCTATGGTAAATAGTAACATCCCACTATGTGTTAAAGTCTGTCATGACAATATACAATATATCGATTCAAGTATACCCCCGGCAAAATCATAATCCGATAATGGGTTTGTATTCATGTCTTTGAAAT